ACATTTGTTGAGTTTTTCTAAATTTTGCATAAAGTTGGAGGCCATAATATATGTATACGAAATTATTTTTTATAAAAATATAGCAGACAAATTTTACTTGAAAGCATTGTGAATATTAAAATAAAAATTAACATGCGAACACTTGCTTGAGTCACTGTATATATGTAAATACATATGTATGTATGTATATGTGCATATGCACGCACACTTAGGTCAGCAAATACTTAGTTCATATTTACTATCAATATATTCCAACTAATCAACATCCTCTGCTAAGCTCAAGAGGTTATCAGCTTAGCAGAAAAAATGAATAAATAAATGACAAACTACATAAAATCGAGACACAAAAACAGCAACAACATTAAAGCATTGTTGCGATAAGACTCTGGCTTAGCAGCGCGGATTATTCAAACTAAGCGCATTCAGTCACAATTCACTTATCATTCATAAGCCGATCTTTGCCGCGAATAGTTCGACAGTTTCTGATTTAGTCAATAAAAACTAAAAAAAATAAATAAAATGTCTTCTCTACTCAAATGCATCCTTGGTCTCTGCGTTGTGCTGTGCTTTGTGCAGGTTCGTTGCTTTTAAGGATTTTTATTCATCTTTCCGTCGTCGATCGAAACTTTAAGAAAACGTATTTTATTGTTGTTGCAGTTCATTGAAATGGCTCGCATTGCCCGCGACGATGCAGCCGTCAAGGATGCAGCCGTCAAGGATCCTGCCGCTGACCTGATAAACAACTTGCAAAACCTGGTCGGTGATGTTGTGGAGAAGCTCAAGACCGCTGTCGATAGTGATGCTGTGAAGGTGAGTACATATGTAAATGAATGGCAGTTGAAACTTGCGAAAGCCGCAATAAGTGGAGTGTACTTAACAGAATTCAGTTTTCCGATTTTAAGGCCGATATTCTAAATTTTATCACAAAGAGCGGTCAGTTTTTTTACCTAAGCCAATATAATTTAAGTTAACATTAATGGTTAATTTTTTTTTAAAATGCTTAACGAAAACGGGGTAACTCAGGCATAAGGAAATAATTTTGATTTACATATACGGTGACCAGATTTCTCTTGCCAAAATCGGGACATTTCTAAAGC